ACCCACAATGGGTCACGCTAAATCTATTCATCACGCTGCACATGAAACCAGCTCGTTTGGTTGTGCTTCAAACCAACACATCAAGGAAAAAAAAAAAGTAGAAACATAAGCAGCGATGAATACCTGGCACAGCACAGCCTCCTGCGGGGCGAGCTGCTGGCAATGCCAAAGGGAAGCAGGAGGGCTGCCCAAAGGGCTCAGAACCAGAAGCACAGCTCAGGACCTGGCACATCACCTCTGCTGTACCTTGAACAGGCGGGCTGCTCTGAGCGTTCCTGTTGGCTCAGGATAGGCAGCAATGGGGCATGGTGTGAACCAAGCACGGGGCTGGCAAGGCAGCAGCTCTGCACTGAGCCCAGCTTGGGTCTGAGGGGCACACCAGGATTTTGGGCTGCCCATGAAGGAGCAGAGGAGCACACGGTCACCTCTCCACCTTCACAGGGAGGACCCCAAAAAGCACAGCTCTGCTCACCCATGTGCTGCAGCCTGGCAGGACGCCCCCAGCCAGGAGACAAGACCTGATGACACCAGGTGATGGACTGCTCCAGGCAGGCAGCAGGCACTGGCACTGTGCCGGCCTTATCTCACCACACCGGGCGATGTGGCACAGGGAGGAGCCGTGGGGCAGGAGAGCACAGGGCTGCGTGCCAAAGCCCCAGCACCGCCATGGAAACAGCATTTCCTTGCACGCAATTCAGCGTTGGTACGGGCTGACACCCCCAGCCCAGCCCACTGCCCCCAGCACACAGGGAATGCAGTGCCCTGCGCTGCAGGAGCGGAGATCAGCTGCAGCAGGGCACCCACAGCCCTGCAGAACTGCCACTGGGCACGGCTGCACACCATGCCAGGAGCACGAGCAGGACCTGGTGCTACAGGAAGGACACGACATCACACCCCATACCCTCCCTCCTCTTGGATCCAGCCACATGCAGCTTGCATTTCCCCCCCAAAATACAACAAGCACTTTCCTGAGCAAGGACAGCAGCTCAACCCCTCACATCACCACACCGTGCATCGCAACGCACGAATCCAGGTTCAGAGCTCTACACGAGCAAAAGCTCTGTCAGGGAGCTGCATCCCAGAGCAATTTAAGTAATGAATTCACAAATTCAAACTCTGCTGCCTGTCCAGACCCTAATGCTCAGCAGCCTCTTCCTCTGGTGCAAAGCCCCAGTGCAGCAGCAGCACCTCTGGTACCTACGGCAGGATGGGGCACAGGGAAGACGTGGGGTGCCTACAGGGCAGACCAACAAGCCCTGTGCCAGGAGGGGCCAATGGTGCCCAAGCAGAGGACACTGCCCCTGAACCACAACGTGTGAATGAGTGAATGCAGCACCTGGCAGCAGGAAGGCTGTATCCAACCGCTCCTTCTCAGCATCAGACAGCAGCTGCAGACTTTCTGCTGCCCAAATGCTTTTTAGAAAGAGGCTGTGACACACGGGTTGGTGCCCAGCCCTGCAGAGCTGACAGCAGCTGCACAGCAATTCCTCCAAAACTCACAGCAGAGACCTCAGCAGCAGCAAGCACCTCCAGAGCAGGGCACGATCCTACTGCTCACCTCCAGCAGGGAGGCAGAGGAGGAGCCTTCAAGTTGTACTGAAAGTGAAGCAAAGTATTATTAGCTGTCCTACATCTCATTTGAATAAAATTCAAGACAAGCTGCTAAGTATGTGGCTACACGAGCCACGCAGGTCATGCAAAAGAGGCAAAGGAGCTCCGGCCCCGAGCTGCCAACCACAGGCTGCTGCCACACCAAGTGCTCCTCACAGCCCTCAGAGAGGACAGGGAGGTGGAAAATCCACCCTGACATGGCTGAGCCCTGAGGCTGGGGCCGGCTGCAAAGCTGCACCTTTGCTACAGGAATGAAGCAGAAAAATCAGAAGCAATTCATCTGGAAAAAAGAACGAACAAAGTCCCACGTTTCACAGCTCAGATCAGTGCAGGATACCCCCACGGACACAGCTGGGTGCTCTGACATTGGAATTCCATGCAGTGAGATGGGACAGGGCTCACCACGGGGCTGCTGAAGGTTGGGGAGCTGGAACAGATGCACTCTCAATGTGTGGATGTCTTATTAATACAGAGAACATAACCCTGGGTGCCTGCTAAGGATGCCCTGCTGCTCTGAACAGCATCACTTAGGGCAAACACATGGGACATCACACGGGCTGCAGGCAGCAGAAACCCCAGCAGAGCAGGAATCTATGGCACTGCCAGAGAAAGATCCAGAGAAGGCAGTCAGATTTCAGAAGCACGAGATACCACCACCTGCTGCAATTACAGCGCTAAAATAGGAATTGAGTGAATAATGGAGCTGGAGCATCAGACGGGCACGGAGGATAAAAGCAGCCATGCAGCATGGAGCTCTCATGCTAAGCCCCAGTCCCACCACGAACACTGGGCAGGACAGAGCCAGGACCCCCCATCAGGGCACAGCCAGAGCTGACCCAACCCAACCCCAGCACCAAGCCCACAGGGTTCATTTTCAGTATCCAGAAAGCACGGTGCTCTTTTTCCTTCAAAATTGAGTCTGCAAGAGGTGAAGCTGTCTCCTGGTAATGAATGCATCTCCAGTCATTACGGCTGCCACCATGCTGGAAAGGTCAGGGTTGAAGCCCTGCATCTCAGCCTCTCCTCCCTCCAGCCCGTATGCAGGGCTTGGGTTGGTACAGCTTCCTCCACAGAGGAGTAGGGCAAAAGGGATGAAAGCCATCAGAGCAGCCGTTTGGGTTTCTTCCCCCCACGTTCAGCACAAGGCCTTTTGCTCAGGCAACACCCAGGGTGCAAAGTCTTCAACCAGGCATACACCTCCAGCAGCACAATTTGGAACTGGGTTCATGGAGTCTGACACATTTCCTTATTCCCAGAATAAGCCCTGCTTGTACCAAATGAAATTAATTGTTTGGGTTGAACAATGGCAGAAAGTTTCACTTTTGCTTCCAGGCGGAGCTGCAGCCATAGGCACAACCCTGGGCACAGCACAGCAGCCATGCAGCAGAACACACACTGAGCACCCGATGGAGGCTGCTGAGAGACAAACCACAGCCACACACCTCTGCACACACTGCACACAACAGATGGGCAAAGCTCTCCCATGATGATGAAGATGAGAGGGGAAATCACAACTACCTTGTTTTGTTAAGCTGTGTGGCAGCTGTGGAAAAGTCCCTGTGCACAGCAGGGCCCCTGGTGCACACACTCAGGGAAGAGCATGGGGCGCTTTGCACCAAGCTCCCATTTGCTAAATGCTGCTGAGCAGAAGCAGGGAGCAGCACAAGACAGGGCACCACGGAGCCACACGCAGCTCTGGCTGGAGCCTGGGTGCACAGAGCCCTGCAGCAGTGGCAGCCCTGCTCCCCCTGTCACAGCCATCACTAGGCGAGGACAGAGCTGACACCTCCAACCTCCATCCCACCACCAAGCATCCGGATCTGCAAGGCCACCAGAAATCCCAAGGCACACAGGGACGTGCAGGCGGCACAGCAGGACCAGTCGGGTGCCTTCAAATTACTGCCTGGGAGAAAGAGGAGCATCCAGAATGAGGCGGCCAGGCACAGGGCTGCCACCCTCACCCACTGCCCCAGAGTGCAGGGAGGTGACAGCCCTCGTCACCGTGGGACACGGCCCCTGCAGGGGACACCGCAGGGGGCACAAAGTGTCAGCAGCGTGGGCACCACAGCGCCCGTGATGGAGAACAGCAGAACAAGTTCAGCGCACGATGCTCTGAGTGCATTATTCACGTCCCACTTCAGGTCTCTGCGTTTGCAAAACTTTCTGAATAATTGATGGCTGGTGCACGAGGGAGGACGAGGGACGCACTGCACTGAAAACCAGGTCACCTCCATGCTGGGGCACACAGAAGGGAGACAATGGGAGCGGGGCAGATCTGCACTGAGAAGAGCGGTATTTATCTGCACTCACAGCCTCACACACCCAGAGCTGCTCGGACATCACAGGGCATTTTGAAAGAGCAGTCCTACAAGCCAACCTTATTTCAGCCTTCTGGATTGTCGTTTATTGTAGTGAAGCCACAAAACCTACACATCAGCACCGCCTTTACCCTCACGCAGGGCACACGCACAGCAACCAGAGAGAGCAGCTCCACAAAACCCACGGGAAAGGTCTGACACCAGCACACAGCAGCGGGGCCGATGCTGAACCAACAGCTGGAGCACGGCTGCACCCCGCAGCGCCGCACCCCTCGCACCCAGCGCCCATCTCAAAACAAAGAGGATGTGAAATGTTCGGCAGAAAACGCAAGAGGAAGGAAAACACGAGTGTACGTCGCCAAGACTTCAAGCAATTTCGGTTCCGCGCCGCCGCCCTGAGCTGGGGGCCCCGGGTGCACAGCCTGTAACCCACACACGGCAGGGACAGATGGACGGACGCGGTGACGGAGGCGGGAGCAGCACTTGGCAGCCAGGTGGGCAGCGCCGCTGCAGCCGCGTGCCACACAGCCCTACCCAGCGCACCCCGTGCACAGCGGGATCCCCTCCCACCTCAGACAACCACGAAACAACACAGCCCACCTGGCCCACCTGCTCCGCACCGCAGCTTGTGGCAGATCCCCAGATCCACACCTGCAGCACATCAGACAGCCTGATGGGGACCCACGCATTTATCCCTTAAACGCGTTTCCAGCCAAGAGTACCCCAATTTGTTCAGGAACGACACGAACGCTGCAGGCACGGCCACCACCGCGCCCCAGCCCCGCAGAACAACGCGTGCCCCAGCGGGCGCCTGGTCCCGTCCCACCCGACCCGCTGCCGGGGGACGCCCCGGTGACCCCAGCGACCCTACGCGGGATCCCCCCGGGGCACCCGCAGAGCCCCCTGCATCCTAGCGCGGGCATCGCGGCGTCACTGGGAACGCTGCGGGTGCCGGGGCCGCCCCGTGCCGCAGCGGTGAGCGCGGGGCCGGGCCAGGTGGGCTGCGGGAACCTGGGCGGCGCGGGGGAGGCGGGAAAGGCCCGGCCCGGCCGCCCCCCGCCCCGCACTTACTCTTGAGGGCGACGATGAGCGACTTCCCGTCCTTGATGAGCTCCTTGATGAACTTGTTGGTCTTCTCCAGCTCGGCCTCGTGCGAGCGGAGCCGCTCCCGGAACTGCGGGCTGTCCAGGCAGCACTCGCTGAATTCCAGCGCCGGCAGCCCCATGCCGCCCGCCGCCGCACCGCGAAGAATTAACAAAAAAATTAAAATATATATTGTTTCCTTTTTTTTGGACGAGAAGCGCTCTCCCGCCTCTCAGGGAGCCGCCGCCGCCGCCGCGGGGCGCGCCCCAGAGCGGGCCGGGCCGGGCCGAGCCGTGCGGGAGCGCCGGGGGCGCCGCTGCCGCCGCTCTGGGGCCGCCGCCCGGGCAGGGCTCGCGCCGGGCGCGGCGCCGCCTCCCCCGCTCGCTGCCGGCCCGCGCCGCCGCGCCGCGCCCCCGCCTGGCCCCGCCCCCGCCGCGCTCGCAGCCAATGAGCGACCCCGCAGCGCGGCGCCACGCCGCCCGCGTCTCGCCGCGCCCCTCGCGGCCGTGGCCCCACCCCCTCCGTCCGCACAGCCAATGGGGGGCGGTGTGAGCGCGGTACGGGTGGTCTCGCGGAGCTGCGCGCGCCGCGCGGTCCACGTGTCTCGTTCCGTTTGCGCTGTGGGCTGTGCTGCTGCCCGCGTTAATTGCGCCCGTTAATGAGCCCGCGAGGCGGCACCTGAGGCGCGGCGCTGGTACTGCCCGGCGGGACGCGCCGCCAGGCCCCGCTACCCCGTCCTTACAGCGCGTCGTGCGACGACCGGCCTGCTGGATGAACGCGGCGGGCGCGTGGACAGTCCCCCACCGCGAGCTCCTGGGATGAACCTCGGGCACGGGGCGGCTCCCGCTGCTCTCAGGTTTTGCGTTGGCAGCCAAAAGTCGGGCAGGAGCAGACCCTCAGTAGTGATACAGGGACGCACGCTGTGCGGGCCCCGTGGGTGTGAGAACGCGCGTTCTGGTGGCAAACAGCCGAGCGAACGCCTGCAGCGCGTCCCCAGCCCCGCGGCAGGGTGGGCAGGCGCGCTCCGGGACGGCTGGCCCAGCCCACCCGCGTGCAGCCAGCGGGAGCCGCTTTCGGGGCAGAGATCTCTTGGTCGCCGCGCCCCGCTCCCAGCGCTCAGCACAGCGGGCAGAACCCCGCTCTGCAGGCAGACCCAGCCCGGACGGAGCGCGGCGGCCGGGCGGCATTCCTGTCCAATCAGCCGTGAAACGCACCGCCGAGCCGGAGCCAGCGTCGTGCTTTTTGCAGACGGGAAAGCGGGCGCTTCTGCACAAAGCCGCGGGGCGGGCGGTGCTGGAAGTGAATCCAGCCGTGTTCGCTGGGCCGTGGCACAGCCGCCCACCTCAGCGCCCGCTCCGGCAGGTCGGATGCGCGACCTTCTCAGCCGTCGCAGCGCAGCCTGAGCGGGGCTGAGTCACCGCCTCCCAGCGCAGTTTGCAGGCGCAGCTTTTTGCATGCGGTCCCCTAATTACAGAAGGGATGTAATAGTAATTAATGCTTATCTTGCAGGCAGGATATAAAGTTTAATTAGCTGTCATTTATGCCATATGCACAGAGCCCTGTAAAAGCACTCGATGTTGTTATTTGGATTATGCTCCTTTTTTTTCTACACTGTACAAACCTCAGCAGCGCATATTTTGGTTTTATCCTTCCACATCCCTATCATTCCTATGAAGAAAGTGTTCCAGCACTTGCAGCTAATACAGAAGAGCCCGTACCTGAGTTTGTAGGACACCGCCTTAGAGGATCAGAATATCTGGGGCTGGAAGCTAAATTTCTTTTGCCACCATTCCAGATCTATAGAAAGCAATGATGCTCAGACTGTCATTTTGTGGACAGGACAGAGTTGAAGCGTTGCAAAGCTCTGTCACATGAAATATCACACACACCACAGGACTCAAACAAGGCCCCACGCGGGCAGCAATGAATGCATCCAGTCGTGCTGTGCTCCCCTTTTTCCTGCTTACACTGCATTCATCAGTGTATTTGAGCTCTGCACGCAGGAGCAGAGCAGGGCAGCAGGCAGTGGGAAGCAGCCATGGATGTATCCCAGCCAAGTTTTGCTGGGATTGTGCATCCAAAGTGTAAAAGAACACCACCAAAGGAAAAACAATAAAACTTCCACATCCTCCTGCCTGCGGGTAAAGGCTCACGTCCCTCCTGATATTTGCTTGCTTCAACTTTTATTTTTTCTAAGCAGCTTGGCCATCTTCCATTGAAGCAGGTCAGTCGGTTGGGCACTGAATAGGACTGGCCATGCTGCCTCTGAGACCCACAGACATCCCTGGCTGCTCCCGGCCATCCGTCACCTGCAGCACCCTCTTGCTGTTGGTGCACATCAGTCCCACAGCGCTGTGCTCTGCCACACGCTGCCACATTCCCTGGCTCTCCAGTCCTGCAGCAAATTGACCCAGGGAGCGACGTCAGCAGAAAGCTAATCCAGCATTAAAAATAATAAAAATGAGTGTTTTCTACTGAGTTAGGCTTGCTCTGATATCAAATAACAAGCAGTGTGGATGCAAGGCTGCGGGCCACAGTCATTACCTCCACGTAGGCTGCAATACTGTCAGCCCCACTGCTGCACCCAGCCCTCCTCACACCAGCACCAGTTCTGGGGCCACAAACTCAGCCAGACTGGGTGGATGGGCTGGGCACACAGAGATGTTTCTGTAAAGCTGCAGTGGGTATTTGGAACATCAGAGCCCAGGTGCTGCAGGAGAGGATTCCCAGATTTGCCCTCAAGCAGCAATGCTCAAGGTCCATTTATTACTTGACTTGGTATCACAAGCCATAATTACATGACTGCTTTATCTTTCTTGCTGCTATGGATTTGTTTATTGCACAAGGCACAGATGAAGCACTGTATATGGCACACACACAACGTCCAGATAATATATTAACCATCACAAAGGATCTGTGTGAATTCCTTATTGCGAACCAAAGGGCATGAATGGACCTTCTGTACTGGCAGCCTTGGAGGGAGCAAATCCTTGAGTCACACCTGCTGTGAGCACAACTCCAGAGCAGCACCAGGAGTTCCCCTTCCTCAGAGCACCCAGCAGATCTCTGTGTGGCTGACAACTCAGGCTCCCAGCTTAGCCCAGCTCACCTCCAATCAATTCAAAGAAAATACATCCTTTTAATTTTCGTTCATTTCTGCTTGTATTACCAAGTCTTCCTGGCTCCCACGGACATAGGTCTGGCCACTGGTTTATTCTGAGCAGCAGCACCAGTGGGAGGTGCTGTGAGTCAGCCTGAGCCCTGCTGGTGGCAGAGGGCCCCCCGCACCCACCTGCCCCAGCCCAGCTCCATGGCAGATGTCCCAGCACAGAGCAGAACCTGTTCCCAGCACTGCTGTCCCTGTGCCTGCAGCCATCCCACGTTACTTGCCTTGGTTCCTTGATCGAGGCAGAAGAAAGCCCTCTGGGTAAGCACTGAGTGCCTTTTGCACCCCTGACCCCACAGCTCTGCTAACCAGGACAGCCCCACACACAGCAGCAGTAACCTCACGCAGGGAGCACTTCCCATGGCAGAGAACTGGAGCAAACATCAGCACAGTGTCGATTACCTTCTACTTCCCTAATTTCAGGGCAAGTTCAGTCCCTTTATCATCCGGCCTCTAACAGAAGCATTACTCTGAGGATCAGTGCTCAATCTGTGACACTCAGAGGTCGCTGCCCAACAGCAGAGCACTGTGACTGGGGCCGTGGTGACCCCTCTGCAGCCCCTCTGTGCAGCACCATTCACACTGCAGCGTTAGTGCCGCTGTGCAGGCACGTAGGGACAAACAAAGCCATGCATTATTATCTGCTGTCTGCAGCACGATGGGGACTGCTCTACACGTCACGGGGACAGGGGCTGTGTGCTCGAGGCGCCTGGGGATGGCTTTGTTCCAAATCACAGAGATGAGGGTAAGGAGCTACAGGGTCAGGGAGCTGAGTGCCCAGAGGCGCTCAGTGGGAGCACTGCACAGAAAGAGACATCCCAGCTTACACACAGAGATCCGTGCATGCAGCAGCTCCCAGGCCAAGGCAGGGCTGTGCGCTCCCTCACTGCTGCTCCAGGCTGCATCCCACCCAGAGCGGGTGGGGGGGCTTCATCCCCCTGAGAGCCTCCTGAGGAAAAGCAACGATGTGGGCCAAACATCTTCTCTGAGTTCTCCAGGGAGCTCTTAGAGCCATCAGGTGCGTTTGGGGCTGCAGAAAGGCACCAACCAGGCTGCACAAGCTACAGCTACACACACAGAGGCCAAATCAGAAATAAGTTCTCAATTAAATGGAAAAGTGCAATTAGTCATGGCCCCCTAAATTACTGCAGCACAGGAAGCAGGAATGGCAAAGCAACGAGCAAACCAAGGGCGAGGAAATCTTCAAAGATGTTCACAGAAGAAGTATTTAAATAACAGAGTTAATTATAGATATGACAAAGTTCCATTGTCAGGAGAGGCCAAACAGTCTGCTTATTCTTACTCTTGTTTCTTCAGGAAAGAAGAAATCTCATCGAAGGACAGGCCAAGTGGCTGCCACTTGCTTCCTCTGCATCAGCTACAGCCCCGGTCTGCACAGCAAGCAGGAAGGCCCCAGCACACACAGGGTGCTCAGCACAGCCCCAGAGCAGAGCTGAGCTCAGCTGCGGTCCCAGAACTCCCTTCATGGGCCCCAGCTCTGCAGCTGCTCCCTGCTGCAGGGTGGGACCCTGATGGGCAGCACCTGGTGCCCGCAGCCCCTCCAGCCCTTCCCACATCCCACACTCAGCTTTTTCCCCACTGCCCTGTGCTGGCTCTCATCTTTGCAGGGCTGCATGAAGCAGAGAATGGGTCTGGCTGTAACAGAGCTGGGTGCAAACTGGGTTCAGAGGAGCAGGCTCAAGCCCCAGTCCAGGAGGAGCTGCGGGCTCGCTTTCTCAGCACGTGCAGTGGCAGTGCAGGCACCCAGTGAGCAACCAGCATGGGAGCCAGGGGGGTCCTGCAGGTGCCTCCTGGGCTGCAGAACCCCACTGAACCCCAAATGCTGGAGCGGAGTTCTGTTACTGCGAGGCAGCTCTGAGGAGGGAAATTTCCCAAAATCTGTAGAACCGTTGGAAAAAGAAGTCAGAAAGCACTGCGAAATTGATCTGCAGCCACGTTTCCAGGAATCAGAACCAGCAGCTCCGGAACCAAAAGCTGGTTTCCCAGAGATGTGTGCTGCACGGGCGCCCGCTGTGACCTGCAGGGTGGATGGGAGCACTGCTCTCCTTGTAAATAGGAATTTCCTCCCG